AACTTAATACGCCTACTGTAAATTAGAACCTGGGGCTAATTGAGTTATTGTGCAGAGCCTACATTATCTTTCCAAATTCCACATCCAATTGTACATCCTTAATTTTGACTATACCATCACATCTACTTCTAGTAATAAGAACTACTCAGAGCAGAGTTGGCAAAGAAGTGCTTCCTTCAATTAAGTAAGTAATGAAGACAAGTGGTCTTAATCACCAAACCTAAGACAAGTGAAGTAAGTAGCTTTTGTTACTTATTATTTGGATTTTGGATTCATCAGAGTACAGGATGGGAAGGCAAACAAATACAATTATTATACATTTCAGAATTTCAGATGTTGTTTTCACCTTTTCTTGCTTTCTTGTTCTCTGCCTTGAATTCAAATTTGTTGCTTTGAATAATTGTGAATAAAATACAAGAATTTATATGAGCTGTTTTTATTCAGACTTTCAGACAAAGAATTTTTATTTCATAATTAGTGATTTCAGAAATTTCTAGAATGGGAGGCTCTACTTCCACCAACAAAAGGCACTGTCCAACTATAGGTCCAGCACACATATCCTGTGACTTTTAAACTGATTTGAACGTAACTCAGCTCAGCTTTCCATATATTAGCCACTATTTCTACAAGAGTAGTACTTTGAAAGTGTTTGTATTTTGATTAAACAGAAAAATCTTAAAACTGCAGAATTCATTAACATTCTTTTAACCCAAGGTTTTTTTAACAAGAGAAAAGATGGCAGAATTAATTGTTCTTTTTCCAGTTCAAGCAATTCATAAACATGTCCCTGGATATATTGAACAGCATAGTGTAATTCATTGCCAAGGTCATAAGATATAATCAGGTTTTCAATCTTGGTCAGCAAAAACTCTGTAAAGGATTACCAAAATATCGTAAAAATATAGCTTATTTTAACTTTGATCAAATAAACTAACTTTACATTTTCTTTTATTTCCTAAAATCTTAATCTTTAGTTTATTCAAATATTGTTGATCTCTTCAATGTTTCTTTGTACCACTGCATAAATCCAATAATAAAGTCATTCCCATGGTTTATCATTTGCATTTCCCTTTAATTTTTAAAATTTCAGGCAACTTTTTTTGTATATCCAATAAAGACTCCTTATCTGGATCATTCTCTTGGCCTGCCACTTGTATTTCTACTTTACCTACCTTCTCTATATTAAAATACAGATTTTTTAAAAATCCAATATTTCTGATTCCACTATTTTATATGTCATGCTTTCATTAACATCTTTTAAACATAGAAGCAGACATTATTATTTGTGATAATTGTAGTTAATCATTTCTAGCTCCATTCTTCAAAGAGCTCCTTAAATATTTTAAATGTTATAGTGCTGTATGTCATTTTGTAAATTCCAATCTAAGACAAAACCACAGGCAAGGGTTTTTAGCTTTTGACTGGAATCCTTAGTCCCCTTTAAATCATAGTCTCTATTCAAAGTTTTGTTCAGAAATACAGATTCACCAGATGTCTTTTCAAATGGCATTCCAAAAATCTTTAATATCCTTAAGATAGCTAAACAGACTATTTCTGAAAGTACTTATAAGCAAAGTTAGCAAATGAATTGTCCTTTAAAAGGTTCTGCTGTGATTGTGAGCTTAATTCTTGATCTCTATGCCTCCCAGCACTCAAATCTGTGGGGACCACTGCCTTGCAGTCTCCTTGCGAAGAGGACCTGTCCAGCGTATATGTGGGTGATCTCTCATCCTCTCCTTGTGCAGAGATGTTCCCCCGTTTCTTCATTTTTTCCCATAGTTATTAGCTCTGCTCTCCATGGAAACCTGTTTAGTTTTCCAAGGCTCCACTGGAAATCTTTTCCTTGTTTCTGTTTCTAAATTCAAAGCAGTTACTTAATATAAATCTGTATTAAGAATGAATGGATGGATAGTTGATTAGATACACAATAGTAGTGAAAAACTCAACTAGTTCATTACCAATTACATTTTTTATAGATTGAGCTCATTATGACTCTTGCAGATATCAAGTCTCAAATTGGGGAACTCTGTACACACAAGGCATTTTAGTAACTCAGTCCTTCATGTAGTCTTACAAAATCATCAAGACAAATTACAATTTATAAGAACTGGCCTTATAAATTATACTGTAGCTAAGAGGAATTTATTGGCAGTGTTCAAAATAATGCCAATTGAAATATTTAGCTAAAGATGTCAGAATCAAAAGCACCAAACTACCACTTACATTCTGCTGGTTTTATGATTGTTGTTAAAAATCATAAGTGTGTGTGTGTGTGTTTGTGTGTTTGTGTGTGTGTGTGTCAGAGCAAAACACTGATGAAGCACTGATGTTAAGTTCGTATGATCTTCTAGTATGAAGGTGTTGAGTAGGAACCATATATTATAGGTAAAATTCCAGAGTTGTTGCAAAATTCTGGATAACAATTTATATTTTATTATTTGTAAAAATGAGATTGATTTAATCGAAGCATGGAAAAAGCTGCTTGTCCCCCACAAGTCATTAATAATAATGTTAATCTGTTGTTTTATAATGTTCAAGGTCTTTAGTATGCAAATACAAAATCCACAATAATGTGCTGAACTCTAATGTATCCTGAATCAATATAACCATCATCAACATGATGTGAGGAAGAAGTGATGATAAGTTGAAGGTATCTTGAAATTTAAAAATCTGAATGGTCAAATGAGGATCTATTAAAATTTCAGTTAGGACTGCTGCAATATAAATAACTAAATTAAACTAAAATGTGACTGATTTGTTTATGGTTACTGTAATTTCCTATCAGAAACTATGCCATTTAATCACCAGATTATAGGTAAATAACCCATAGCTCAGCACGTGTCTACCTAAACCAAAAAATAATGGTGGATTTCCCCATTTGTGAGATTACACAATCCAGATTTTTATTTACACAATCTGAATTGTTAAAACGAAGAACAGAATAATGCTGGCTCTCAGGAAAGATGGAAAGTTATTATAGTTCAGGAAAAAGAAATTGTTTAGGTTCTTGGAACTCTCATGGAAAATATCAGGGCTTATATCAGCAAATACTATAATCTGTATTGTTAGTCATGAAATGGGTGTATAAACAAAGTGGTGCAATATACATTGATACTTGAGGGATGTGCAAACACCTAGCCAGATGCATAGCAGGAAAAGTGAGTAACAGGAAGGTGCATCACATCATTACTTCATCTCTACGTCTTGCAACAATGCCCCTTTCATAAAGAAACATGAACATCTTCATTTACTATATGTATACAGAAACCAGAGGCTCAGGGAGAAATTGTTCTTTCAAGTACTATTTTTCCTGTAATGGTCCTCCAACTTCAACTCATCACTGTGCTTGAACATTTCCAAAGGCAGTAATCTTTCTGTACCTCCATTTCTAGAAGATAAAGCAATAAGTAACTTGTGGCTCAGTGGCTAAGATGCTGACCTTGTCAATCAGAAAGGTTGACAGTTCGATTCCCTAGCACCCCATAATGGAGTGAACTCCCATTACTTGTCCCAGCTTCTGCCAACCTAGCAGTTGGTGGGAAGGTAACAGTGTTCCGTGTGCCATTTAGTCATGCTGGCCACATGACCACAGAGACATCTTCAGACAGCACTGGCCCTTTGGCTTTCGGGAATGACTAGCACATATGTGTGAGAGGAACCTTTACCTTTACCTTGTGGTATCCTAAAATCTACCAGAGAACTGTAAAACTTCCTCAAGCAATTCATAATTGAACTCACCTCGTGGATGCCAGGACTCATTTATGAGTAACATGCTTGGATTTTAACTTCTGTCACATGACTTCCTTGAATATTTCTTAGAATGAGTAGACACTCCCCCTTTCTTATGCTCTTGCCATGGCCAATTCAAGGCTTGTCATAAGTATCTCTGAAAGGGCAGTTCTTCACACTTGACAGACTAGCATGAAATGTAAGTATATTACTGTGCTTTTTTTCCACAAGCTACTGTACTAGATTTATACTCAAATTGGATTTCTTTCAATCTCAGAAAACAAAAGCAGACACAAAAGAAATACAGTAACTTGTTCTTTCTTTTCTTTTGCTAGAGATCTTAAAATTATTTTTCATCGATAATAAATGAAGATGTCCAAATGTTGTATTTATATGGAAAACAATACAATTTTCTTTATTTAAATTTTTTGGGGAATTTTCAGCCACCTTTTTGAAAGACAGTTGTTGTCATTCAATCATGTCAATTTTTATGACAAAAGGGTACATTTCAGCAGGGTAGTCTTGTAACATTGAACAACTTTGTCTTCTGAGCTCTCTTTTTCAATTGCCTTCAGCTTTCATATCATTAGCATATTTTCCAGTGGCTTTGTCTTCATTTCATGTCTCCCAAAGATTGTTGCTTCTTTATTCATGTTTCCACAGAAGATTTTAGCTTCGCTCCATCTTTTCTTAAGATGAGAGAGGGGGAGGGAGAGAGGGAGGGAGGGAGGGAGGAAGGGGAAAGGGAGGGAGAGCGCAACAGGTTGCTTTTTTGCACTTTTCTACTTTGAACAAGAGATTCCTTATGTCTTTCTTACTTACAGCCATCAAAGTGGTATCATCAGAATATCTGAGATTACTAATACATTGTACTACTAATTTTAATTTTAATTTCTATTTATTGTAGGTCTGCATTTGTCATTACATATTCCACATATATGTTAAATAAATACACTGAAAGTTTAGAAACTTGGTAAATTCTTAAATAATCTCTTCTCTTTTCCATTCAATCCTTATACTCAATTTCTGTGTATTGCTTATTTAAATATAAATTAAATCCCTGCCATTTCATGTTCTCTAAAACTCATGTTGTTTAGCAAATTTTCCTACCTATATACACATATATATATTTATCCTGGTCACTGACCACAATATACAGTAACTACAGCAGTGTATTAACCATTAAGAAGACTAAGCATGTGCTTAGGGAACCAGGCCCAAAGGGGGCACCACAAAGTTGAGAAAGAAAGAAAAACCAAAGAAGATTTGTAGAGTATGTACAAAGGAGGGGGCACCAAGATTTGTCAGTGCTTAGGGCATCAGTGAGCCTTAATCCGCCACTGGGTAACTACTAAGAGCATGTAGAGCAGAATACAACCATGTGTGACTAGTTCATTGATATAATCAAAGTAGACCTAATTTTATGATATTTGCCCATTGTGGAAACTCAGTCCTACTGGTCTGATATTAATTGTATAGAATAAATTGAGGTTGCCAGTTTATTCTATACATTATTAATTGGAGAGTAATACAATTCTTATAAAAATACAGCAAGATATAGATATTGGTTTTATTTTATTCTATATCAATAGACAACCATTGAATTCTTTTACATTTCAGGATATTCAATCCTGTATCATTTTTAATGATGCAACAAATTTTATTTCCAGTTTCTTTAATCATGTTTATCACTCTAATTTACTTCATCTATTCATCATATAATCATAATGAATATTGTTTTGATCATATCTGACTATTTTGTTTTTTCTATTCTGTTGTTACTATAGGTGTTTGTAATCTACATTGTAATCTTCTTTTGCTGACTGACTAGACTAGAGCTTCCATTTTTGCTTGTAATATATGTAGATAATTTGATTTTGGGTTTGTCTGTCTAGTAGAGATCCTGCGTAATCTTTCAGGTTGATAGAGGAAAGTATTTGCTAAAAACATTGCATCTTTTTTTTTTTTTTGCCAGAACTGTATTTGTCTCCCGTTTCCTTTCATATACCAAGGCGAAATGTTCCCATTACTCTGAAGCTACTTTACTTCCAACTTTAGCATTCCAGTGTCCTATATTTATTATGGCATCTTTTCTGCAGTTGTGTCAATAAGATGTTGCAAGTTATAATGGAATTATTCAGCTTCCACTTCCTTTTTATCTGTGGTTAGCGCATATACACAGATCACTGTAACAGTGATTAGCTAGCCTTCAATTTGAATTGAGATTATCTATCTTTTTGGGACTGTATCCAAGCATTTCTACATATTTATTTACCTGTTTACACATTTCTATAACCAAACATCTACCCAGGAAACTCTAGATGGCAATCAGAAATTTTTAAAAAAATCATTCAAATTTTACAAATTAAAAAAAGAGCAATTTGCATACTTTTTTTTAGCAATAGGAATTAGTCAGGTTTTTTTAATGATTCTGAAGTCTGCATTAGAGGATCTGATGGGATCTGCAGAGGGTTCCTTTGATGGGAATTCCAATATATATTCAGCTCCTTAATTCCTAAAATGTTGATATGCAGTCTTGGCATTTCTGCCTGGACAACATCAAGTCTTCCTTTATTCATTGTTCTGGCATTCTACTTATCAATGATATATTTGCTTTTGAAGCATCAAACTGTCTTAATGCCTCTGGGCTCATGACATTTAGATATCCATTCAACTTTAATGATGTAACTGTAAAACTATCAGTGCTACTTGCCCCCTACTTTTCCCTGGTTGACTGTTCAATACTTTCAAACACAGAGGGTGGCTAATTTCCTAGTATCGGGCTGGCATTGCCTTGGCTGTAAATGTCTATTTGGTTTCTTAACAGAGTACTGTTAAACATTTGAAATAATATTCAAATAATATTTGAAAAAAATCTTGAAAATAAAAAATCCTTGATTGGAGCACTGAAATGCTATTTTTTAAAAAAAATTAATAACATGCTCTGCTTTGAATAAGCCAGTTTATTTAGACAAGAGACCTCCTATCAAATCTGGTACCAGAGCAGTGCTCCAAGAAGCTCAGGTCAAGTTTCTCTGCAGTTGGAACACCAGCACTCCTCCTTTTCCCCAGCTATCACTTGCTGTAAATAAAACAAAAAAAACACGACTTCCTGGGGTGAGTTTTTAAACATGAAGACTCCTCCAAAACAAAGGCTGCCCCATCCAGAGTTAGCAGGTATGCAAATGTGCTTATCATGATTTGAAATGATACAAAAATATTGGTGATACTGGGGGCTAAGATGCTATTAGGAGGCCCTGATGTTCTACTGTATTGATTTTATTTGTTACAACTATTTGTATCCTGCTTTTCACAGCAATGTTCTTCCTGATACAATATAAGCCATTACAAATAGAAACGTAGTATGATCCCTCTCATGGGGCAGTCCATGATCCCACACATACAGGAAGGAATATATTCAACTTTTATTTCCATGATTGTAAGTGTTCATGGAAGTGACAGGTGGGGGAAGGGACAAATGACAAAACATACACGGATATGTCACATACTTTCCTGTGACTTACCTGCTTGCTTTTTGTGCTCTTCCTAAATGCCTATTTATATGTTGTATCCATTCTCACTTTTCTTATAGCATTTATTTGTTGGTTTGTTTATCAGACTTTAGACGCCTCTTACATCATAGAGCCTGGGAACTTAACACTCCTAAAATATAAACAAACAAACAGTTCCCAGATAAAAAACACAAACTAGGAACAACATCCTGGATGAAATGAAATATACAGCATCACCAAGCCTAACCACCTAAATTCCCAAACACCAGCCAAAGTGGATTGCACAGAAACAAGCCATTTCTACAAAAGTCACTTAATCAATCCTTCCTTCCTGGCTTACAATGTTAGACATTCTACGTAAGACACCACTGGCTGAGATCTAACAGAGAGCACTCCACACAATCAATAGAATAACCTTTTTTCTCATTTTCTAGGGAGTACTGAAAGCTACGGGTAACGAGTTCAGTTATTTTCCCAGTTATTTGTGGCACTCTTTGGACAAAAAGTTTGGAAGGTAAATGGGCACAAAACTGTATTTTACAGTACAAAGATAAAATGTGTTTACTTCTCTGATCAAGGATGACTCTGAGAGGGCAGAATTTTGTGATATTCTTTCCCTTTTTCATCTTTCAATTTCAGAAAAGTTAAATGTAATGCTTACGACAAAACCTTTCCGTTCTAACCTTTGTCTTTGCCACCTCTTTACATCCTGAAAAAATTCTTCTTGTACCTCTGATGAATTAACCTTCTGATTTTATCTGACCATAATTATCTATTACAAAATTATATTTAAAGAGCTGCAGTGTCCCACACCCCGATCTACCACATTTGCAGACTGTAAAACTGGAGTGAACATCAGCAGTTTTGAAGGGAACACATCAGGGCAAAATATTCACCACAAAGAAAATATTTCAAATCCCAATAGCTGATGATAATACTTTTCTTCCATTATTCTTTGTATTGAAGAACTCAGAATGACACCTCACCAAAAATATTGTTGGGGTCCTAAACTTTATATAACGGCTAAGGTATTTACAAAGTAAATTTGACATAAAATAATTATCATTACTGTTCTTGTAATAGGATATGGTAACATCCCTATCATGTTATGTTTGATATGTTATATCAAATCAGTGAATGCCATTTCACTGGAAGGGATTCTTGGTTTCCCACCTTCTAGGACATTGGTAATAGCATGATTAGGTTAAGAAACCAAATCCAAAATTACTGCTACACTAGTGATGGGCATCTGCACATTACAAGATATGGAGCTTTGATTACATTGTCACTTTTTCCATCTTGACTTTTTTTGACACCCTCTACCTCAACACCATCATTAGGCATTTGAAAAGCAATGCAAGTTTGTCACAGTAGTTAACACAGAAACTTTAGGAGCAGTAGTAATTCAGTTTATTTTTTGTGATAGGAGGGAAAATGGTGTACCTACGACTCAGAGGAGGCAAAGTGAAGCACTGAGTTACTAATAGGTGCTTCACTGGGCACAAAGCCAGTAAAGCCTTGTCATTGATCTTATCTGATCAAGGCAATGGTGAAACAAACAAGGGATTTGAAGATGATATAATTTCTTAAGCATTTTGTTACCATGTGTCAGACAATTTTGTAAAGGTTCTCTGGCTCCTGGATTTTTATGATTCTAGGCATAGTGATGTTCATTTGCTGATGACTTAAACTTGTGTCATTTTGTTTGTTTCGTCTGGAAAACCTTTCCTGGTTCATGAAAATAAATAAATAGATCTATTAAAAGTATGCTTCATCATAAGAACTAGGAAGTTTATCTGGAATTTCTCAACAATTTGCTAAGGTCGCTAAAATATTATCCTTCTGAAAGCCCAGAAACACCGTACTGCTCAACATATTTTATTTTATTGCAGCTATTATTTCAGCTGAAAAATATCTATGGATTCTATAGTATGTAAAACAGTGGGCTGTGCTGATTTTGTTGACTGTCTTTCTCTTGACAGACACAATACTGTCTCACACATACATATACACAGAGGAAGTACCCAAAAGGGCAATCAGACTGATTCATCTTATAAGGAAGGGATGGCAACATTTGGATTTTGTAGCTTAGAAAAGCAGCAGAGGGGCATGATAAAAGTATAATGTAGGAATAGAAAGATAGAAAAAAAGATTTTTCAGTTGAAGCTAAATGAGGATCATATAGCACTGGGGGGAAAAACAACCTCCTTATTTACACAGCACTTAAGTAAACTATGCAATGTGTTGCCATTTGATTTGATCTATATCAATTTAGGAAGCTTTAAAAGGTGACTAGATCAATTTCTGAAAGTTGTAGATACAATAGCTACTAGATCCATAATGTCTCCCAAATCCCAACACTCTCCAGTTGCTAACAATGGAAATAGAATATTATCCTCAAAGCTTACTTGTCCATTTTTTAAATGCAGGAAGGTACTGGGCCATTAAGGAAGGTAGAAAGCTAACATAAATGGGTATCTGAGCTAATCCATCAGAACTCTTATGCTCTCATATTCACTCAATCCTGTCACCATACTTTCACCCTTTTAATCCTGTTTTAATTTGGTCTTATTTCCAAGACCACTCTTTTCCTCCTCCCAAATTATTTTAATACTTTTACCACCAACTTCCATGAGAATCTTCTTTCTCCTCTTCATCTTCCCTTCCTCACCTGTTTTCATTTCACTCCACCTGTTTCCCCTTTCATCCCTCACACACACCATTGGTAACAATATATTATTGCTCACAATAATAATCCTCCATTGGGGGAGTCATGTTGTCAAGTGAAGATTCTTCTGATTGTATGTTCCATAACATACAGAGGGTCTATTTCTCTGACAACTTACTATGGGTACAAAACAAAGATCAAATGTACGTGTCTGCTGTTGTAATTCTGTGAGCTTTACTATTAAGCAACCCTCATGTATGAAGTGGAAAGCTCACTCCTTCAACTCCTGGAACCCAGAGTCTGTTTAGTATTAATGGGTGCTAGATTCCAGGTGGCTCAATCACAAGCCTCTTGCAGAGTAAACACTACCATTAAAATGTAATAATACCAAAGGAGGAAGATGAGTTGCTAGCAATAGCAGAACTGAATCATCCAGGATGTTCCCACAATTCCTCGTGGCCAGTGATAATTCCTATTTGGACCTCACAAAAGGGATCCAAAATAGTCCCTAGAAGGAAGTACCTTACTGTCCACATTCAAAAGCAAGATTTGACATAGAGTCAGAAGAGCAAATGATACAAAACAAGTGTGGAGACCAGACAGGAAGAGAGCAGGTGAGATGTTTCATTAAAAAGATTCCAGTTGGAGCTGCAGTGTACATTGAGCATGCTGCTTCACTATGATCTTTTTCCAAGGCATCTATGGCCTGTATATGTAAGTCAAACTATTTACTTTATTTCCATATGTGGCTTATTTCTAATAGAGTTCTTAATAGACAAAACCATTGGGGATGAATTTTGAGTTATCACAATGCACAGATCTCTGGATCCACATGTGGCATAAACTGATATTTGGCTTAACAGCATATTATTATGGTCAGGATTAGATAATGTATCTGAAAAGTAGGGGTATGAGAAATAAACATGTCCTAAGTTATTATGAGGAAATGGCTTCTCCGTATATATATATAAAAAAGAAGGGGTATGTTGAGTGACGTGATGGAGTGTATCTACAGAGGGTGAAGATGGTGTGAGGAACTACAATAAAGTGGCAGTTTCCCAGAAAGACAGAAGCATAATGGACACACAGAATGGGGAGAATAGAAAGAGCATAGCCCAGAGCTGAATCAAAGAAAGAGGAAGAGATTGAGCATAATTATTCCCTAGAATCTCCCCAGTTTGTATCTGTTAGTTAGAGTAGTATAGGTTTAGTTGGGTAAGATTCTATCTATATTGTGTAAGTAAATTATTGGCTAGATTGTTCTATGTCATTCTTGGATTAGCTTGACAGTATTGGTATTCTAGACATTAGTATTTTTGCTTATAAATCTAGTTTCTGGGGTCACAAAACAAGGAAAGATAAATCATTACCATGAATTATGTTAAGTTTCTAGACCCAAGGAGCACTTTGAAATAATCTAATGGTTTCCAACTGGCACCACAAATTTGAGAAGTTAAATCCTCTTTATTTGTTACATTTACAAGTTTTTTCTTTATGGACTCAAGGCAGTATAGGTTAGGGTTTTCCTTAGTTTTTGCTCCGCAATTGTGTGAAATAAATTGGGCTAAGGGGATAATACTTCTGTCAGTTGGAAAAAGGTGCTTATCAAACTCTTTCTATTGTTTGCCCCATCACCCAGTTGCTCAATAGTCCAGTTAAGCTTTCAACATGATCCACGCCTAAATCCTCAATTCACACTGGCGTATGCATGCCATTATAATTGCTACTATAGCAATACTTGTACTTCACATGCAGCTCTTTGAGAAAAAATATGGTAAACGAAAAATAGTTTGTGGATATTTGGTGTTTTGCTTATCCTAATGGGAAGTAGTCAAACAAGTTCCTGAATATTATTCTATTTTTCTTTCTTTCTTTTTTGCAGCTCAGATGACGTTATAAAATGAATGTCAACCCCACAGAAGTCAAATCTGTTCTGAACAGTTTGCTATCTATCTATATGCAAGACAGGGAAAGGAAACTGAATTATACAAATCCATCTCTTGTACAGCAGGAAGAAATCTCGGCTTCCCTATACATTCTGATCATTATTGGATTTTTTGGCTTTCTCCTTTTCTCTATGATGCTCAGCAATATTGTTCTCAGGCAGCGGGAAAACTACATGGACTATCTCTTTCAAGATAAATTTCCAGGAAAGAGGAGGATGACTTCCTGCAACAGTATAATGGTTAATGTTGGAAAGGGTGTTACAACAGAAGCTAACACAGATTGCCAATGCAAAAAGACTGACAGTTGCCCAATGGCAGAAATTCCGAGTATGGAATCAGTGCAGAAAAATGTATGAAGGTGCAGTATCATGACCTATTTTTAACTGTGGATGATTTTGTTGCTGTCTAAATATTAGATCCGAGTGCATTAACTTGGGCCATTCCTGGCAAGCCTCATTTGCAGCAACCTTCCTATCTACAGTGCAAGAAAAAACTTGTTTATTTCTAAACTGTATTATATTTTTCCTGTTTTAAATTCCATTAAGTTTCCACTAATAGTTTGGTAATTGAGTTCAAACTTGTATGATTTCTTTATATTCATGCTCATGTGCACCTTTGTGATGTATCCCAAATGGACTAAGTAAGCCACCCTCCTTCTTTTTCTTAATTGTGTGTTTTGTGAAGACTTTTGTTCTTGTAACTGTGTTATATTGTGGAGACCTCCTCATAATATAAAAGAAATACATAAAGGATATAAAGAGTCAAATCAAGCAAATGTTCATATTGGCTAGAAATCTAACTCTCCTGCCCTAGTTCATCATTCGCCCATTATCCATAAATAGAAAATTCAAAACAAAAGGAGGTGTTTTGAAGCCTGCAAGTATCCCCTGAAAATCAATAGAATCTGAAAATTGTCAAATTGTTATGTTTAATGTGACAAAAAAAGGAACTTTATTAAAATCAATGACTAGAGAACAGGCAGGTTAATTATACCACAGTTTAAGTTTAAATGGAAACAAATTGAAGTCAAGTTTAGATTCTAATTCACCATTCAAAAGCTAAGTGTGACTCTTGTCAAGGAAAAGTTATGCATTCCTGGCATTATATAATGAATCCAGGACATGTGCTTAGTGTACCAGACACTGCCAAAACAAGATGAATTGAGGAGTTGATCATTCTTTACTGTACCCCACAATTCTTGTAACACACTATTTCATTTGCGTGGCTGCTTATATATCATAAAGAAGGGGAGGGGGAAACCACTTGGAAAAGAAAGCATAATTAGGCATCATTTTTCTCACAATGTACATCAGCTTTCTTTCAACATGCTGACTGAGGATAATGGGACTTGTTAGTCCAACATACAGGTAGTCCGCAACTTATGACAACTGAGCCCAAAATTAATGTGTTAAGTGAGAAATTTGTTCAGTGAGTTTTGCCCCATTTTACAACTTTTCTTGCCACATTTGTTAAGTGAATCACTGCAGTTGTAAAGTTAATAACACGGTTGTTAAATGGCTTCTCTATTGACTTTGTTTGGCAGGTTGCAAAAGGTGACTGTCATAAATAAATGTGAGCCAGTTATCAACTATCTGAATGTAAATCACATGACCATGGGGATGTTACAATGGTCATAAGTGTGAAAAATATAAGTCATTTTTTCAATGCTGTTGTAACTTCAAAAAGTCACTAAACAAACTGTTGTAAGTCAAGGACTACATATATCTGCTGGGTAGGAAGGTGGGAAAGAAGGTCCTTTCAGGCATTTTTCTCTAGGAGTAAAATGAAAGTCAGCTGAAATCTGCTGTTACCCTCAGTATTTATCACTTATTTTATTTACTACATTCTTTAAATCCTATAGCCAAGTTCTCTGGATGGTTTCAATACAAGTAAAAACAAAAGCATATTCAATTTAGTAAAATACAAAATAAAAACTCGCATAAGCTATGCAGCTGAAAGCTGGTCGGTCAAAGACTAAAACAATAGAAATTAAAATGGGGTTAAAACATACTTACCATGTTTTCCTGAAAATAAGACAGAGTCTTATTTTCTTTGGACTCCCGAAATAAACATGATAAGGGCTTATTATCTCGGGATAATTTTACCTGGATTTTACCCTGTTTAAAAGGCAGAGAAAATGAAAATGTTTCCACCTGGAGTGAAAATGATGCATTGGAGGAGGGGAGGGGGAAAGGGACAGGCAAGCCTTCTGGGGGAGAAGAAATTCCATTAATGGAGTTCCACCAGAGAAAAACCTCTCTCCTTTGGCGATCAGATCTGGAGGACTCCAATGGAAAAATTTAAAGTCTGGGTAGGTACATATAGGAAATGGTGCTCCTGATTCTAAATTGTTTAACAAGTTAAAGATTAAAAACAACACTTTGAACCTGGTCCAGAAATGGACCTGCAGTCAGTATAGATAACAAAGAACCATCATATCAATTTATTGACCAGTCCCAAGAAGCAGTCTATCCACCATAATTTGAATTAAAATCTTTCTAAACTGTTTTTGAAGGTAGCCTGTTGTATAACACTATAATCCAATCTGAAGTTACCTGAGTGTGAATCACTGTTGTGAGACTGTCTCTGTCCAGGTAAAGTTGCAGTTGATAAATCATAAATGGCACTCCATGCCACTGAATTTATGATGATGATGATGGACCTAGGAGTATCCATCCCCTTCAAATTATAAACATGCTCCTTTAGAGGGCAGATGCTTCCAGAATAGGTACGACACCACTTAGCTGAACAAGCAATGATTCGGTGTTGCCTGAACTGAATCCGCTTATTGGCCTTTATCCAGTCCATCCTGCCCAAGACCTGATTCAGAATACCAACTACCTCATCTGCATTAAGTGAAAAGGAGAAGCAGAACTAGGTGTCTTCTGCATATTGATGTCACCTTATCCCACTTCCCTGGATGACCTCTGCCAGCCTGAAACTGGATTGAAATGGATCTAGATGAATCAGTCTCAATGAAAAGAGCCTTAAGTGGATGAGCCAGCATCCATCCAAGTATCTTGATGGGAAAAGGAGTATTGGCCACAGGCATGTAACTCTTCTTTCTCCAAGTCCAGATCTGGATTCTTTAGAAATGGTTTAGCACTTTTGGTTTCTGAACACATCATTAAACAAAGACAACATGTATAGTTCCACCATAGTAAGAAAGTAAGAAACTCCAACATTCCATTGTCAATCAGCCTGATGACCTTTGACATTCCATCTCCTTGACAACAGACTTCCCCAGCTTTGTTGCCACTCTTGAAGGGGCCATTTTGCCTAACAATAGAATTAACTTCAGATATTCAAAGACCTGCTTAGTTTCCCCTAAGTGGTCAGCCAATCAGATCCCTAGGATTTCCTAGCATGTAGCTCTCAAACATCTTTTTCATTTTTCAGAATTCCTCATTCTTGGAAAACAGGCACCCAATGACTTTTGCAATAAACATGCTTCTTTCTCCTCGGTGTTGGGTCCTGAACTTCTGAATTTTCCACAACAGTTAATATTCTGGATGCTTTTGTCCTTCACAAATGTAGCCTATTAATCATTCTTCTATCTTGGAAATATTTAGTTTTCTTTGATGTTCACTTTTAAGAGACTTTTATAAGAAATTAAGATGTACCAAGGAGTCATTCACTTAGTTAAAAAAATCAACTTAGCTGGAAAAATTATTCTGAATTTAAGACCACACACACCGTCCCCAACGGAAAACTAGACAGAAGAAAAAGAAGTGTTGCTTAGTAACAGCTGACCTTCAGGCAAATCTTCAGATATGTTCTTGTTTTTCAGCAGGGATGTTTGCACCATTCCTTTCTTACCAACTATTTCTTCTATTCTTATTAGAAAATGTTAAGATTCTGCCTCATTCCTATCCTATCCCTTGGATACCAATCCAGAGGTAATAGTTTAACATTTTGATTTCATATGATGATTAAGTCATGCTGTGTTCCAATATGCCTTTTTTCAGATGCACTTCATTTTTCCCGTTACGTCGGACAACATTTTTTTTCAAGTTTGGTTTTCTTAATTTGATAATTGTGACAGACCCATATAAACTGAACATACCATAGATATAATTTCAGAATGACTTATCACACAGGAATCTTGAAAAATATGAAATTAAATTTGAATGACTATAATGTATTTAATCATGTGCATAGGTTCAACACGGCTAAAAGTGTTTTGCTACTGAATTTTGTTTCTGTTGTCTCTGATGCATCTCGCTGTAGTGACCAACAATGGTCAGCAAGCATGGATGGATTCATGTTGCCCCGAGAGCATTTTTCTTTTGTGGCAATCTCCTGATGAAACCTTTCACCATGCTTGTCACGAATAGCCCCTAGAAAGAAATCCAAGTGTGAATGCGGAAAATGAATGTTCAGTGACATGTTGCACTAAATGGTCTTGTATGCTGTAAGAAGTTTGACAACTGGGTGAATGTAGCTTGATGCTCTATGGTTACCATGAAAATTCTCAACCACATTCTTGAATGCAATTTTCTCTGGCTCTACTAACAGGTCTTCAAACTGCTCATCATTGATGATGTACCGTATCTGATCTGTAGACCAACAAAAATGCCCTCCTTAATCTTGGCATCAATTATTCTTGAAAACATTTGTCTCAAATAACAAAAACTTCTTATTTTTCATCAGTCCAAGATTTATGTGAATCAAATTGTCCATGTGCCATGTTTTTCTATCCCAGAACCAAATTCTTTTGAAGTGGCCATTTCTTTTTAATATAATGTGATTCACTTGCATGTTTATCGTATTCATCTATACATGAACAGTACTTGGCATATGCAAGTTGCATTCTGTGCAACAGAGCCACTACCTTTAGTCCTCCACAGATATTCTACTTGTACTTGGTGTATTGATGTGCTTTAACAATAGTTCCATGTTTCTGTATATTTATTTCTTGTGTGCAGCATAGCCAACAGATACTGAAAGATGTATATTGCCATTGTGTAAAAATGTGCAGAAGACTTCTATAAAACAGTACAAGATAAGTTAAATTATAAGTTGTTTTCATAGTTAGCAACCTTAAACCTATAGCACACACCAAAGTGTTCAGAAAGCAAAATCCTTATTGTCTGGTATTATTTATCCATGACACATGAATACCTAATTCAGTTCTTGTTTCATTATTTTTTTTTGATGACCCTTTAATCCCTTTATTCAGGGTGGAGTCAGATTGTCTGAATGGAGCTGAGCATTTACTGGCCAGATGCCCTTCCTGACACCTTTAGTTTTTATTTCAGTATTACTAAGTAATTCAGTCAGTGAAATCCATTATGAGATCATCAATATCTCTGGGCATCATTAGAATTTTCTGTACAATTCAATTTTGCCAGGAAATACATGATGCATCGCATTGTAAACCCATTATTAAAACACATTATTCATCGGAGTTCCCACGACACTACATCAAGAAAACTATGTCTGCAATATTTGAAAAATTTAAGAACTCTTCACCTTAATGACTACAAGACTATATTTTTAGGAGAAACCGATCTTTCTGAAAGTCTCATAACAGGAGACAAGTTTCCTTATGAAGATAATCTCAACTGGCCTGTATGGACAGTTGTACATGCTGGCAACAGCCAAGGATGGGTACCCTGGAGATACAGAGTATATCTAAGGGATGACTTACCCTTAGGGCAGCAGGACGACATGTTTCAGGAATTCTGTGACTTTCTCTCTATTACTTATGGGAAGTGTGCCATTGTGATCAAGGAGAAAAAACGCTTAAGCGTGAAGACTGAAGCATCTAACCAGGAAGGGGACATAATCGATTCTCAGGCCATTTCTCATCCCTACTTGTTGAACATCAAACACTGCCCTGAAATTGCCAGGGCTATGGGCCATGAACTTCTTTCAGTGCCTTTTGATTACAACTACTTGCATCCTATGGATGCTATCTGGTCATCTTTGAAATGGTTTATTATCAATAACAGAAAAGATTTTTCTCTAACATCCTTGGAAAGGACCTATTCATACCAGTGCATCCTCTTCGGTGACCTGATTGGGAAAGGAATAGAGAAAACAAGCCCAACCAAATGGAAAGTGGCTGTTAACAAAGTGCGGAGATGGGAAAATTATTATTTGGATAAGTTTTCCTGACAGCTTCCAGTCATTTGTCAAGTGATCTTTGGTTGAAAATAGGCTAATTCATATACTAAATGTGTATTTTCACTTTATAATTCTAGGTAAATGGTGATAATAAAAAGAATAGTTTTAAAGTTACTTTTGGTGTTATATTAAAATAGGTATTAAGGAATTAAGTTTTGTTAAACTACATTCTATTAAGTTAAATAATTTAAATTAATTATTTTAAATAAATTATATAATAAATTAAGAATTAAGTTATTAACAATTAAAAAACAAAGGTGTAATCCATATCCCAAATTCATGAAGATGTACACTTTAATTGGATCACATTGATTCCCATAATGGTGTTAGAACAAATTATAAGAGCAAAAGAAGTGATGGGTTTCAATAGAAATATTTCCTTCTCTTCTAGAACCTTTTCACACTTTCATGAATAGCAAAGAAATAATTAAGTCAGTCAAGAGATAGTGGTGGTCACCCCAATAAATAGGTGGGTGGGAGAAAAGTATGATGAAATCTTTGTTTTTTACAAATCACTTCTCTGAAAACTTTTTCTCTCCCTAAATCTAGTTACGAATCAGAATTACTGGCCCTTGGCTTCATTGTATTTTAAGCTGACTTATCCTGGTCAAATTTCATCCAATTACCACCAAACCTCCAATGCTTTTAGAGGTGACCAAGAGATTTATGGATTTCATATTTCAGGTTCCTAAAATGATTACATTTTATGTTTGGTAGTACAATTCAGAGGGGAAAAAACTAATGGAAGAGTCCAACCAATGCTAAATAAATAGGGGTACTTTTGTGCTTAAATTTGAGTCCACTATTGTGATGCTCAAGTAATAATCAGCCACAATTATACCCTAGCAATCATATATTCAAAATAGCTTCCAAAGATGTCTTTTGGCTATACCCCTGAAAACACAAAATAAATATGAATACTGTGCTAGAGAATCAACTTCCAAATAGGATGCATTTGGCAGAATACTGGCCACATCCAGGGTATAGTTCCATGATTTAAAAAAAATAAGTCAAAAATAAATCTATGAGATTTGTTGACACATTGGGAGATGCTATTTTAGCTGGATGAATGGTTAACTGGGAACAATATTCTTGAAAGATTTCCACATGTTTTATTGTATATCCGTTTATCCAAAGATTTTTTTTAAAACAGTGGTACTGGTATCTTTCAAATCCATCTTTAGATGGAGAGGATACAAATGGTTCTTGCAATTTCTGCTCCACTAGCAGCAATAAAAAGACCTTTTGAATTCAGTAATAGTCATTTCCAAACATATGCAGTACTCCATTTTCAGCCTATTATAGTTTTTCTATTCAGGATGACTTTCATCATGGTTAGCCACAGCAAATCATCATAATTCCACAGGATGGCAGTACATGATATTATTGTGCCATAGACCTTTGTGTTCTAGTGCAAATAGTGTCTCTCATTCTTAATTCAAATTGGCAAATATGGGTTTCTCCAAATGTTATCCAGTTGTGTTTCTCAAAAGCCCTGGCTAGGATGGCTGATGCTTTCAGCAACATCTGGAAGCTGGCCCATCAACTCCTTTTCCAACTTGTTAATTAAAACAAAATAAACTGAATAGTAGAGACCAGTTTTCTCAGCAGCAAGTTGGAAGAATATGTCTCCCAGCTACAAAAAGAGAAACAGAATCTTTTAAAAGCCACGTCGAACACAAATGGAGATTTTAAAAAGAGCCAAAGTAAAATTCTAATCAGACTCTCAATATGAAAGCTTGTGTCCCAATTGATGCGCCTTGTCTGGAAACAGTAGAATTATAAAACAAATATTCAGCATCTTCTCATTTTCATTTGTATAAATTGTACCTGCTGATATGACTTGTACTCTGTGCAAATTTAAAGTACTTTTATAACTAATCTGGTCCTAAGAATAAATCAAATCATCACATTAGATTTAAGTGGTTTCTTCTTACTTTAAACATGAAGATTACAACTGAACCTAATGAACGTTATACAGTAACAGTATGGTCATTATTTCACTTGTATTAAAGGGCAAAGGAGGAAGTTTTTTTTTAATGTGGTAAGGCAATACATCTTGTCTCACATTAATAAGAGACCTATATCTCTTGGTTATTAGAAAATGAGAGATGAATTAGGTAATTTAAAATTTCTTCGTAATTATTAAGGCAATGCAATCAGACACTTTTTAAACTATGTATTAATTTAGAGCCCATATTAAGGATTTTAAAGTTCTATATTCATGTTTAACTTCAAGTCCCAGAAAAAGCTTATCAAGTTTTCCTTCAACTCAATAAGGTTGCAGCACAAGGATGTAATGTTTACTGAGAAACCAGCCCTCTTACATTCAATAGAACTTTCTGCAATGCAAGAGTGCAAAGAACTACAGCTTTTAATTTTGTGCTATATTGTGCCCAAAGTTACAAGTGCAATCATTTGCAGGCCCATTCAAAAGTCTGACTCAGTTCAATAGGAATCATAGCATTGCAGTTTTTAGACTTCAGCATAATTTTTTCTTTCACATATAATTTGTACCTTCATCTTAAAAAAGCAGGACAGGGTGAAGAGTAATAACTTAATCAAATGTGAAATTTTAAGACTCAACCTATATATGTGCCCCAAAGTGTATTTTCTGAGCAGATACTGTAGAATGAAGGGTTGGGGACTGCAGCCATAGAGCATAACTGTTCTATTAAGCATTATCTATTTTACTGGGAGACAGACAGCAGTAGAGGTAATATCTGATTATCTTTCCCTTCCAGTTCAAAGTGTAGTTTTAAAATCAATAGAACAGTCAGGACCAATCTAATTATTTCTAGTAGGATGTATTCGTGAGCAACACTGACCAGATTAGGCTGCAAAAGGAATAGTTTTTCTCTTGCATGGGAGAAAAATCAATTATCTATCTAACTTGAAGGTACTTGAGCAAATGGAACACAACATGCAGGATTCCAAATGATACCAGTACCAGTTTTGCAAAGAAGATTTATTGAATAAATAACTGACAATATCCTGCTACTATCTGTAACAAAACAACAACAAAATTAAAATATATTGTTGTTCAAATAAATCTTGATCTTAGGGAATTCATTTCTCCAGCATAGTTCTCCATTTAAGTGAAATCTTCAATGCTTCCCAGAAAGGCATCCAAGTCAGCTGCCACATGTCTGAAAATCTGCACACAAAATAGAATGAGTCTATTTGCAGCAGCTAGTAAGTCTCCATCTTCTCATGCAAAAAGCAACATGCAAGTTCAAAATATAAGTTTTGCTTTGGTGTCATGGGCTCCTAAGGGATACTGCAATCTCTTACATTACAACTCCTAATGCTACTGTACTTAAGGTCCAGCTGACTGCTTGGCTGCAACTTCACAGCTCAAATCTCAGCCTACCCTATTCTCTGCACACAAAAATTTAAGATTGGGAAGGAATATGGGGACTTCAGTTTCACTCTTCCTTTTCTTGCTACTTCCTCCCAGCCTACTTTTTACACAACTTGAGATCTTTATTTTGTTTGCAGAAGATAATGCCAAAGTTTATAATGTAAGCCAAAAGGTACTGTTACTCTACCTGGTAGGTTACTTTGCAGTACACAATCTTTATCCATCTGAAAGCACACAGTGCTGGAACTAATCTGAAAGCTGCATGCAAAATGGGTGGAATATGAATTGCACAATCCATTCTCCTTTTTGGGTTTTTTTTGTATTCACTTTTCTTCCCTTCCTTTCTTGTTAGAAAATAAAATGAAGAAAGAAACAGGCCATTTTTATCAAAGTCTGAACTGATTGTTGATTTCAAAATTAGGATAAGTGTCACGAGGAAGCAATAGAAATAGTACTTAGACTATTTCTATATATCTCTTCACGGTGCTTTACAGCCCTCTCTAAGCGGTTTACAGATTCAGCATATGTGCCCCCCAACAATTTGGGTCCTCATTTTACCGACCTCGGAAGGATGGAAGACTGAGTCAACCTTGAGCTTGTGAGATTCGAACTGCTAAATTTTTGGCAGCCGGCAGTCAGCAGAAGTAGCCTGCAGTACTGCTTTCTTACAACTGTGCCACCATAGCTCCACTGCCCCATCACGGCCCAAGGAAGTAAAGAGAAAACCTTATATACAGGTAGCAAATGCTCAGCCCTAGATTAAAGTCTTACTTTTATAAGGTCTTACTCCAGATGTCATTCTAATCTAATATATGAAGTGTAGTCTTATCTTCAATGGTTCCCATTATATGCAATCTGTTGTCCAAGAGGTTCAATTAGCTCCCTATCTCTCAGAAGATGACACAAAATTCTGCCTGCTACTATTCAATTTTTATTAAATTCAATTTACAAAATGTAATTTATATTTGGGCTTTAAGATTTGTTTCTTACTGTTGCTTCAGATTTTGTGGTGCGATATTTTAGCACAATATTATTTTATTTTGAAATGTTTAAAATAAAATAGTTCCAGAAACATAATCATTTGAATTTCTAAAAGGTACCAGAAGGTGGCATTCAAGCCAGTTTACGAATGCACATGCCATTTGAGGTTCAGAGCACCATATATCGTTTCATAATTTCATTGTTTTCCCAGAAAACCAAAATTGTTTAGTGTTCTGAAACTCACCTTTGTAAATCTCCCATTCACACAAGTTCTGCATGCAGCAATAATCATGTATCAAATAATAAAATATGCCAATCAAAAGCACAATAATAAAATAAGCTTTACTAAGCTCTCAGATCATAAATTACTGTTCCCAGTTGTCAAACAGAGTGTTAATCACATTTTTCAAGTATTTGTTAATCATGGCATTTTTGCACGTTAATCACATTTTGCACATATTTGGTAAATGGGTAGACAAAGTTGTTCTGTTCTCATAGGCTGAGGTGTGTGTGTGTGTGTGTGTGTGTGTGTGTGTGTTATGTGCATGTGGATGTGGGACAAATATTCCACATATAATAAAAGCAATTATTTCCAGTTCTTTAGAATGTCCTGAAATTGCGAAGCTGATTCTTTCATTTAAAAAAAGAGTTGGAGCTGTTTCAGCCTTCATTACAAGATTGCCCCAAAGAGGCCCAATAAAACAAGCAGTGCAGCTTATTCAAATAAAATTCCTGGGTCAGGATGTGTCTAACTCAAATATATTCTTCTGCTGTTCCAGTTCCAACATGTTTTATGTACTAAGTTAAATATTTTAGTTGACATTTTTCCCATAGTGAACCTCCAGATGATGATCTTGGCATAAGCCATCTACTACAATTGAACTGGAAGACTGGAAGATCATGACCTGAAGGATGAGACATATGGGTGGCTGTTGTTGTTTTCTTGGAAAGAGTTTTGTCTTTAATCAGGCAAAGTCAGAGAATGGAAGGTGGCAATGGGAAGATAGCTGTCAGGGTCTTTTTCTTATATTAATATTCCCATACCAATGTATTTCTGCACAGGAAAAGAAGAATATGTTATCCTGCAGTACCTATTATTTATGGGTGATGGTTGTATTTAAAGAGGTGGGAGAATAGGAATTTGAAAGTGCTCCTTCTACTATGACAGTTGACGTTTTCAAATACCAATCAGACATATAAAATCTAAACTGAAGCTCCAAAGAGTTCTAGTAAACTCACCCAGCATAAAATTATTCAGAGGATTGTGAGTTACGACAACACTCCCACACCCTGAAAGAAGGGCTGAATTAAACAATGAACCACTGATTGTTTAATTACAGTTTACTGTATATGCCATAACAGCCTGTTCCAACTCATAACACACTGTAAACACCAACTTATTTCTAGTTGCATTTTTACTAGATTGTATGATTTTAGCTACATAATGTATTTGGGAGCTGTACACCGCTCAGCTGACAGATTAAAGTCCCTTCAGTCTTGGAACAAATCAAGAATCAATGTTTATGCATTTGTGTATTGAGACCATGGGGCCGTGTATATGGAGATCAGCAACGTAAATCATCCAAGTTTTCAGAGCTTGCAAAAGAATTGTTCATATGCATAAGTGTAGAAATCCTTCATGCAAGAAAGGGGGGCTGGGGGGCGGAGAAGGAGGTCTTCTGACCAACCTAAGAATAGAATGGGTCATGTCACTTCACAACTCTCTTCATGCATTGTTTCAAATGATGGAGTGTTCTCTTTAACTTGTTATAAAACATCATTGATTCCAGTGAAAATATACCTTTAGATCTTCAGTTTTCTTTTTTATCCATTTCTCCTTTCTGCTTTTCTGCTTGTTCCATTTTCATCTTCTTTTCAAGTCTTTTCCTTTGATATACTTTTACCCCAGCAAATGCTAAACAAAGAATTAATGTTTTAGCAGCTAAAATGTACATTAGTAGTGGAAAATTTTCCAGTGCCTAAAACAGAAAAAAAAATCATTGAGTTATTTTAATGCAGTAATGTAAACAGAATAGCTAGAAAATGAACATTTGAATTTATCAAACTCAAATTACTTCCTTGAAACAGCTATAATCATTCAGAAGGCCTTCATAGTCGTGGAATAGTTATAATTTTCATCACATTAACAATGCCTTATGAGGATGATCTCAGTTAAAATACTGCACAGGCACTTTATATTAATTTTCTAAAAATCCTTTTACTTCATGAAGGTTTTGTGATGGTATGGACAACATTATTTTAATATTCCAAATAGGCTCACTAAAAAGCTAACCATAAGGAGCCTCAATAAAGGTTTTGCTGGCTATAACATCATCTGTTAAAGAAGAACAGAATGATTATGTAGTTCTTTATTCAAAAGCCTACAATTTTAAAAAGTTTGAAAGTGAAATCCAAATCATGTAAACAGAATCTATTCTATACAGAACCAGGATAAGCTGATCACACAGATAAAGTACAAGAACACACAACCTGAAGTGTGCAGTCATTGGTTGCAATACATTCTTGCACAGCCAGTCAAGAAAACAGATAAAGAGGCCATAGGAAGTACCTGCTATAACCTTTTTATAAACCCACAAATCATACAGTACAGATTGTAGTTTTCTAGAATGATGTTCTCTCTCAGAGTAGGTATCAATGTATACAAAATATACAAGATTGTTTCTTCCACACTCAGTAACTAAGAAATCAGGAGAGCAAAATTTAAGATACAAATTAAACATTCTCTCACCTTCCAATTCAGGAGCACCATCTTAATTCTGTATCACTGTAATCTTCAGTTTAGGATGTTACAAGAGTGCAGGGCAAATGTGTAAGAATGCAATACTTTTTTGTAAAAAGCCACCTAGGGAAGAAAGAGAAGTGATATAGTCAAAGAACCCATTTGAACCACAGATATATGGAAAATTGCTAAAGGCAAAATCATCTGCCAAAATAACTCACTGATTTGTTTCAACAGATACTATGCATTAATGAGATGTCAATATTAGTGACATGGGCTTAATATTTAGTTATTTATTAAATTTATATAGTCAGCCATCTTACCAAAAAATACTCTGGGTGGTGCACAACAATGAGATAAAATAGCAAATGGAAAAATAACAGATAAAGATGTAAAAACTGTATTAGTAAAAACATAAAAACCAAAAAGATACAAATGAAGTGAAAGGAGGATTAAAATGCCCCTCCCCAAAACAATAGAGCCCTTAAAGCAAGTCCCTGGTACCCAGGGAGCCCCAGGTATGATAAGATAACCAGGTCTTGAGGGCTTATGGAGTTTCAAAAGGATGGAGTTGATCTCATTTCAGGGGCAGGAGAGGATGTTCTTATACATAAGAATTCCCAGCACACCCGTCTCCTCAGATACAGAACATTCAAGAAAGGAAATGTGTTTCCACTGAGTGACAAGATCAGTGACCAGTTGCAGTACAAACACCAAGACTTGACTTGGTTGGTGACAGGGGTCATATTCATCGGCAAATAGCTATTCAGCAGCTATTCAGTTTAAGAGGCGGGCAGGGGGGAGAGAACAAAAAAAAAAAGAAACCCTCACGGGCAACAATTAATTAGTTTGTTAAAATACTGGTCAAGTGGTAACTGCACAGATGTAGGCTCCAATTCATTTAAAGTTAATTGCATAGAAACCCTACTGAAAACCATACTGTAGGACAGTGATGGTGAACCTCTTCACCACCAAGTGCCAAAAAGAGAGAGCATGCATGCATGCGCAGCACCAAGTGCCGAAAAAGCAACACTTCATGCACGCTTGTCTGGGCCGCGACCAGGAAGAGGAACTGCCCAGGGGGCATGCGCGTGCCAGAAAATGAACTTCCAGCAAGTCTTTCGGTTACTGCTGGAAGGATTGATTAGCTGGCTGGTGTGCACACATCAATCAGCTGGCCAGTGTGCATGCTCATGCTGGAAAATGGAAGACTAGCCCTTCCAGTTCCCAGCACTGCTGCATGCACAAAGGCCAGCTGATCATCATGTGCACATGCATGCCAAAATCCAGGAGAGGAATGGGCAACGCCACACATGCCAAGCAACATGGCTCCGCATGCCACTTTAAGCATGGGTGCCATAGGTTCGCCATCACGGATGTAGGATGTCGATTACAACTAACTTGTTTTTAGAGGAGGGAATCGCAACAAACTTCTGCTCAGTTTCCACAACCCAGGGTCTCCATAAAAATTTCAATAATGCTTCTTACATCTTGTGTGAGCAGTTCTAGCAGTGACCCTCAATTTTAATGCTAAGTGAATGGATGATTTTTTTAAACATTATTGTGATTGAATACATCATCAATCTGTCTAAAAGAAAGGCTACTATATTTTATTGGGAATAAGTTATAGACTTGAACAAATTCTAAATAGGTTTTCCCTTTGAATTAGGGAATAGTTTTAACTTGTTAAGACCTTGATCAGCCTGAATGATGCATCTTCCATTAAAGATTTCTTGTTTGGCAAAATATTGAAACCCAGATCTCTATAGGCATGGGCATCAACAGAAGCTTCCTGCCATCATAAAAATGATGAAAGTGCTTGCATTATGACTGTCCAAAATTGCTTCTATTATTCTGATACCCACCCGTCCTCAATCCGCTCTGGATAGCAGTATCTGGATGTGTGTTAAAATGGTACAGAATCCCATCTACTGCTTATTTCTCTCTGAACATATACATCTATCTGCCTTTAGATGAATTGAACCGGCAGATTCTAATGGACATAAGGCAGTTGCAAAAATTTAAGGAGCTGCACTTCCATTACAACCACTCACTTGGCCAACGTATAAACTATTCAATAAGCTCCAAATTTGGTATATTACTTGCCAAGTTGGCTAGAAACTGCTTGGAACTTAACTGGGCTTCAACTTACCCACCCAATTCTTAGCCAATAGAAATCTAGTAGCAATAGTTAAGATTAATTTGATTGGCTCTCGCAGTAGATAAGAGAATGAGAATTGCAGTAATAAAAGATCCATGCTGGATAATTGGAAAATCCTGTGTTAATAATGTGGAATAAAATATTCAATAAAGGAAAACAACAATGAAAATTGGAGCACTAATGGCAACATTTTCACTATTGAATTTGAGAATTTATCCTGTTTATATTCTAGGTTACATATTCCCCTGCCCATTTGCTGAAACAAAAAAAAAAAACATTTTGACCCTTTCCTGGAATCTGATTTTTTTTTTTATTTTAGAGCAAAAACTCTGAAATGGACATAATAGCAGTGAGCAAACATATTTTTCCTACATTGCTCAGTATTATTTTAAACAATCAAGATTTATTTATCCCACTTTATACAGAAAATTCTATTTGAATCAAAGCCCCTTCTGAAATTAAATCCAAGAATTTATACCACCCATTTATATTTGAAATAAATTAAGGATTTCAAGGGAAGCGAATTCTAAACATATTAATATGTTACATGTTACATATTTCACTGCAAGTTTATTCCAAAAATATTAATCTATATTTATTTCTAGTGACCTTTCTGTTAAGTTCCAGGACTTTCTCCCAGTTCAAACTATTTCTGTTTTCATCTTTTTGTCTCTGCCAAAGCTCTACATGGAAAGCCATTTATTTTTAAAAATGCATCCGATAAGTAAGGTTCTCTAGTGATAACAATAATGAGACCTAATACTATGCCGGGAGTATATATTGTTTATTTATTTGGAAGATTTATATTTCTGTCCATTTCACAAATAAGACTCTGAGAGACTTACATATAGCTAAACACAGAAAAACCAAGTAAAACAATAGCAAACTACACAAAACACTACAATATAGCCAAGCCACAACATATTCCAGTGCAAAGTCGTTTCAGAATGAGTTCAACCTATGTTCTAGCCCAAAGCCACAAGAGGGAGGTAATAACCAGGTTTCCAAGTTCTTATGAAAAACTAACAGGATCAGGGTCATCCAAATTAATTCACGAAGTCCTATTAATGTAACAACCTGGATAAAAAATAGCATTATGAATTATTGATATTTATCTATAAACCAAAGCTATACAATGCTTCACATTTGATTTTCAAAAGATGTTTCATAGTATATGGGTATCTATCTACAACTATTTAAAGCACCCATATATGCTTTCTGGGATCACATAGGAGGCAGAGAGCAACTGTAAGGAAAATAGCCTGTTGTTTTAAACAGCTGTAGTTACTATGTCTTTTAAAAAAATATTTCTATTAAAGGCTTTGAGCAGAGACTTATAAAACAAAATGAAAACATTTCAGGCTGGAAGAAAGGAAGTACTGAAAATTAAATTTAGTTTTTCTTGTGAATCCATCAGAGAATGACTTTGGCAAGACTGAGTGCAGCCTACATTCAAAAACTTGATCAGCTCTGTGTTATATACTATGGCTAAGACAAATAATCAAATGTTAGAACTTTCCAAAATGTGAAAACTTTGATCAAAATTAGCCCATTATTGAAGTCTGGAATATAAACCAACAGGATAGTAAATCTCTCATGAGATTCTAATAGGGAAAAAGGCACAATGTGGATTGGATTATATTACTGTTATGTGAAAATAGAGCTGACTGAACAATTGCACCTAATTAGTATACTCCATGTCAAACTCTATGGAAACATCAATTAGCATTTTGAAAGCTCCTCTTTTGAGTCCTGTACTATCAGGGGTGGGTTCCTGCCAGTTCTAACCTCTTCTACAGAAGATGTTCCACAAATCTACCATGCCGTTTAGAACCGGTTCCAGCTCCCTCCCCCCGCCCATCTGCACCACGCTTGCCCCACCTGCCGCTCACTGGTTGGCTGGCTCACCAATTGCCCCGCCCACCTCTAAGAGTCCTATCTAAACCTTAAAGTCTTAAAGCTGTCAAGTTTGAACACACCTGGGTTTTTTTTTT